AAACCGCATCTCGGAGCCCTTCAAGATCGAGCGGTCGGTGCGTCAAGGATCGGTGGAAGCGCCAGCGCTGTACGCGCTGTATGCATGCTGCGTGGCGGACTACCTCTGCAAAGGGGCTGGCCTGCGCTTCCTGCGCCTGGACCCGAACCTGGCGACCGAGGTCACCCTGTTTGCCGACGACACGACGGTTTTCCTGGAATCACAGAACGAGATACCGAAGCTGATGGCGGCCCTCAAACGAGTAGGGGAAGCCACAAACCTGAAAGTTAACGAAGAAAAGACGACAGTCATCAGACTCGGGCGAGACAAGCGCCAGACTCCACTGCAAGCGATCGCTCACCTCGACTTCCTGCCACCTGACAAATGCACCAGAGTCCTGGGCGCAATGTTGGGCTATGGCGACCGCGAGGAGGCAAACTACAAGGAGCTGTTGGACAAGGTGAAGGCTCAGCTGCTGCGATGGAACAGCAGGGGCTTGTCGATGCCGGGCAAGGTGGTCATCGCGAACGCCATCGGGCTGAGCAAGGTCTGGTATCGGGCAAGGTTCACTCCACTGTGCGGTCACTACCTGGATCGGCTCAAACGCATCATTCTGCGCTTCTTCTGGCCCACGCGCTTCAAAGCACCCGCAACACTCGCAACGCTCTGCGCAAAAACTGGCTCGGAGGCTTTCGGGCTGGGACTGCTTCCCATCGACCAACACTGCCAGGCGCTGCTCGCCCAAGCAGTTGCGAACTTTTTGCCTGCCGGCCGCCTCGCTGTGGAAAACAGTGACGCAGTTGCTGTGGAGGGCGGCGGACACGCACGACGGCGAGCCAATCGGTGACAGGCGGCTGCTGCACTCGAAACCGGGTATCAAAAAGGTCAGCCTTTTCTGGGGCCGAGCGCTCGCTGCATGGTACAAGCTCAAACCCGCGCCACGCAGGCCCAACAACCGAATCGAGGCCCTGACTTTGCCGCTGTGGAGCAATCCACTGGTGACGGACGACGGCAAGACGATCAACTGGCCATCCTGGATGAGAAATGACTACAAGACGGTGAGCGATCTTTGGAACTTCAAAGAACAAAGGTGGGCAACCGCCGATGAAATCAAGGTTCCAGGGGCCACGCACAGCAAGCTGACGCGACTGCTTGAGGCTCTGCGAGACTCGGGCGTGGAAGAGATTTTGAGCAGGGAAGTCACGGAGCCGGACGACTATCCCTGGTGCTCGACAACGACGAGGGCCGGTGGCACACTGCTATACGAAGTGCTGGCAGTGAAGAACACTAGCGAAGGCACCATGCTTCTGCTACGACGTCATGGCTGGTCAGACAACAACATCATCGCACCCTTCCTCGCGACGAGTTGGACCAAGCTAACCGCCACAAGACCGCTGCTCACGGTGAAATGGGTCTCACACAGCGCAAAGAAAACCCTGCTTGCCAACGGCAGGTGGAAGCCCCAGGCAACCGATACGTACTTTGTCGGCTACGGTTTTGACGCGTGGATCGACCCGAGCGTGATGCTTCATGGGCAAGGCCTCACACCACTACCAGTCGTGCACAAGGATACAACACTCAAGGCCATCCGCAAGCGTCTGACAGCCACCCCCGAACCCTCGCGCGCACTGCTCGAGTGGGACAGGATCATTGACTGGAACTGGAGCGATATGAAGGCTGTGCTCAACACCAACCTGGTCACACGCAAGCAGGCTTCGCTGGTGTGGCGGATCGCTCACCAAACCGAGTGGACGGGAGAGCAACAGCTTAGAGCCGACATCGAGAAGGGCAAAACCAAGCAGGAGACCTTGATGCAAAGAGCGTTAGGCACTTACGCTTGCCCGCACTGCCGACGAGGAAACGCTCGCCCCACCGAGACTTGGATCCACCTGATTTACGAATGCCCGGTAGCTGAACACATCTGGCTGAGAGTCGAGCAAGTTATGGTTGTCGCACACGATCTTGGCACGCCGTCCTCGGCAGCCCATGCACTCTTCGGACCTGCCCACAACCCCACATTGCCACGAGGATATCGACGCAACAGACCTGCTTTCAGATTGCTGATGACCCTCTACCACTTGGCGCGTTGGACCATATGGCGACTTCGGTGCTTGGCGAAATTCGACAGTTTGGACGCGACACCAGAAATAGCGACCGCAATGTTCGATAAACTTGTTTCCAACAGAGCTTACGAGGACCTGACTTTGAGGAGGGCAGAAGCAATGCAAATGTGGGGCGCATGCGCCAAGGAAACGGCTACCGGCAAATTTGTCTTTGAACTTGAGCTTCACGATGCCGCGGCATCGGGGGCGTACTGAAGGGCCAGACTCAAATACGGGCCCGTTTCGTTGAACTTTGCTTGAAAAGGGGGCTATTCTTTCATTAGTCTTCCTGCGTTTTGCTTTTGAGGTTGTGAATCATTCTTGAATACACAATTTCACCTGAAAAAAAAAGCGCCTCCACTCCCTTTTCGGCGGGGTGCACACAGCGTTGCACCCGTCCACAGCGTCCCAGTCGCAGTCTGAG